GAGCTTACATGCTAGAGGGAGTGGGGTAAAATTACACAAAAAGGTAATTTGCAAAGGGATAGAGAAGAAGAGAATATGGAAAGAAGGACAGATGGGGGGATGACTATGGAAAAAGTTGTAGTTGTAATGTTCAGAATGTAAAAAGAGGGACAGAAGATGGGGTTGAGAATATGGAGAACGATGAAGGTGTGAGACCTTTCAAACGAGAATACTAAAGCCCTTAAGGATGAAGGCAATTGTACAAGTTCTGATCAAAATAAAATCTGGATTTTGAGCTATGTATCTGTTCAAATATAATTTACCTCATTCTTATTAAGTGCACTCAAATGTATTATATACTATTTTGTTCAGGACTTTCATTTCATATAGGGCTTTTATTTCACATAAATATATATACACCGGTATATGAAACACAATTTGATATGAATAAAAATCAAAAATATATGTATGAGAATTTAAGAAATGTTATTTCTTTTGACATTATTATTATTGTTATTATTATTATTTCCATTTATATAGCACCAACAGATTCCGTAGCATGGAGAGGGGGGATTTAGCTATAAGTAGGACAATTACAAGAAAACTTACAGAAACGATAGGTTGAAGACAGTGGCGTACACATGACCCATGGGGCCCCGGTGCGAAAATTGATCCGTGGGCCCCCCCGCGCGCTTACTCGGCGCAGGTCGGGGCCGCAACACATGGCGGCGGGCACCTGGTCGCAGGGGTTGCAGGGCTGCGACCACGCGACCGCGGTATGCACACACACTTAAAGGACCACTACAGACACCCAGATCAGCTCAATGAAGTGGTCTGGGTACCAGGGCCCTCTAGTTTTAACCCTGCAGCTGAAAACATAGCAGTTAACTGAGGGTTAATCCAGCCTCTGGTGGCTGTCTCATTGACAGCTGCTAGAGGAGCTTCCGTGATTCTCACTGTGAAAATCACAGTGAGAAGACACTGAACGTCCATAGGAAAGCATTGAGTAATGCTTTCCTATGGGCTGTTTAAATGCGCGAGCATCTTGCCGCGCATGTGCATTCGGAGCTAAAGGCGGACACTGGGGAGTCCGACGCTGGAGAAAGGTAAATGCTGAAGACACACACACACACACACTCTCACGAACAGACGCATACACACTAGCTAACAGACACACACATTTACTGACAGAGACACACTCAGCGACAGACATACATACACACTCACTTATAAAACATACACTTTCACTGACAAACACACACTCACTAACAGACATCAAACACACTCAGTAACAGACACACACAGTAACACACTCACTAGCAGACACACACCCAATAACAGACACACACTAACACACACATACACTAATACACTAACACACACACTAACACACACATACACTAACACACACACACATACACTAACACACACATACACTAATACACTAACACACACACACACACACTAACACACACATACACTAACATACACACACAAACACATTTTTTTTAAAAATTTAATCCCCCCAGCCTCCTTACCTTTTGGAGTACTGGGGGTATTCCCTGGGGTCCAGTGGTGCTGCTGCTGGGCTCCTGGGTGGCAGGTCACTGGGTGGGCGGGCTGTCTGGGCGGCCGGCGCACGAGGGAGCACTTTCCCCTGAGTGCTTCCTCTTCAGCTCCCTCGCACGCCGCGTAGGGATGCCAGTGCCAGAAGATGACATATGCGGTACGCGAGGGAGCTGAAGAGGAAGCACTGAGTGCTCCCTCGCGCGCCCGCCTGCCCGACCGGCCACCTGACTGCCGGGTGACAGCAGGGCCAGCCTCGGGGGGGCCTGAGGTGGCCACCTCCTGGGCCCCCCAGGAGAAGAGGCTGGCCCTGTGGGTACATACCGGGTAGCAGGGGCGGCCCGGCCCCCTGGTGGGCCGGGCCCAGTCGCAGCCGCGACCCCTGCGACCCTGGTATGTACGCCACTGGTTGAAGAGGACCCTGCTCAAACGAGCTTACAGTCATGCATTTTAATTGTGAATGTCATAATAATGTTGCTTTTACTGCAATGAAATACACATATGTGTGTTCAAAGATGTCTCATAAATATAACATGCCCCATGTACAGATTTTATGGAGTTTTGGAAAGTTATATGGTCAAATATAGGGGTTTTCCCCTTTTCAGTTTTTACACATTGAGCTGGGCCTATATTGTCTTTGAGACCGTAAAAGAAAAACTGCCCTTTAATCAATGATATCATCAGCATTACATGTTTTACTGCTGTAAAACACTCATATTTATGTTCAAAGATCTCTCACGAGTACCGCAGTACCCCCATGTCCAGGTTAGATGGTGTTTTGTAAAGCTACAGGGTCAAATATAAGGCTTGCTCATTTCAGTTTTTATACATTGAAATTTGCCAGATTGCTTATGCTGCCTTTGTGACTATATGGTAGCCCAGGAATGAGAATTACCCCCATCATGACATACTATTTTAAAAAGTAGACACATACCCAGTGTATTCAAAATGGCGTATGCCCAGTCTTTTTTTAGTATGCACTTAGTCACAAACCTTGGTCAAAGTTAGCATTCATATTAGTTTTTTGCATTTTTCACACACAAACTGCACTTTCACTTATGATATTGTCGTGATATGTTTTACTGTTTTGAAATCATATTTGTGTTCAGTGAAACCTCCAGAGTACAGCAGAATCCACCACGTACAGGTTTCTATGGTGTTTTGGAAAGTTACAGGGTTAAATATAGGCCTTGCAAATTAAAATCTCTGGACTTTCTGCCTGGGTTGTCAGGCAGGCTCTTCAAATTGCTAATAATAAAATCATATAATTATGTAAAAAGAGTACATAAATATACATAAAACATGTATATATAAACATGTTTTGTTGTTAATATATATATTTTTTATTATATACATATATATTTATATATTTTTTAAATTATAGAGATACTGTATATATAAATTTATATATATATATATATATATATATATATATATAACATTTTACTCTAAGTTTATTTTGATATTAATATATTATATAAATATATTTATATACCTATATATTAATATATAACTTGGGTTTTGCACTCAAAGTCACCGATAGATACCTGCCCGGTGCTGTAGTCCAGCAATGTTAATAAATAAACTTGATGGAGAGCTCTCAGGGGTCTTGTGACATAATAACTACTGCTTATTAATAAATAAAAAAAACAGAAAAAATAACAAACAAAATACAATCAACGTTTCAGTCCTCTAAATAGGACTTTTTTTTTAAAGACAATGTGCAAAACAAAGTGCTGTGTTTAAATATGCTAATGAACAAACCAAAAAACACCAAGGTGAGAGTATGTGATGACGATGTTATGACAAAATAGAGGAGGGAACGTAGTAAAGTAGAGTAGATAGACTGGATAAACTGGTTAAGTGACAGTGAAGCAGATATTGATTCTAATCATCAAAGTGCCCCTGTTTAAACACTCATTGAAGGAAAATATTTAAAATACCAAACTAACAAGCTAGAGAAAATTAACTAAAAAGAACCGCATAAATCTGTCCAACCATTGTGTAAAAGAGTTAAAACAATTTATAGCACTTAAAACTCATAACACACAGCTATACTGTGCAATAAATTACGTGAAGAAGATCCGAAAAGATCATGAAATTTACCTATATAAAAGTGTGCAAACTTAAGTTCAGAAAAAGTGGCACATCAAATACATTTTATTATATTCTGTAGCGCTTTACAATATTATCAAAGGGGGAGATTCAATGATAAATGAGACAATTACAAAAACTTACAGGAACAATAGGTTGAATAGGGCCCTGCTCAAACGAGCTTACAGTCTATAGATATGAAATATATGGTGTAAAGAAAAAACATCAGTAACATAATAACGTGTATCAGCCACAAATCAAGAAAATCATAAATACAATAATAAAGGCAGTATAAATCTTCAACTTAACAAGAACCTGTTTATTCAAAGTGGACTGTGAATCCCAATTATCACTAACCAAACTGTATAGTCTGTAACTGTAACCAAAATGCATATAAGAGAAAAAGGTGAAAAAAAAAATCTATTATACCTTAAAAATGGTACACGAATTACAGTGCCAAAATTAAAAGGTAAGTAAATAAATGGCAGAAAAATATTAAACTCAATGAAAAGAATAAAAAAACAAAAAACATAAGGACTGCAATTCCCATCACCACCAGCCAACCTGTGTCTTATAGATACATGCAAAAGCCAAATAAAGGCCTGATATGAAAATGCACTTAGAATCCCCAAGTACAACAAAAGTAACATTCTAGAAAGAAACAAGAACAACATAGTAATAATGTTGCTAACCGTGAGTGTGCGAAAAGCACACCCACAGTCATACTGAGATTTCCAAAGCGCATATACGAAAATTGAATACTAAAGGGGTGGGGGAGGGACTAAGTAGCAATGAAGGTACCGATCTAGGAGATCATAACCAAAACAAAAACCTACACTCAGTCTAAGAATATGAGCTAACAATTTGTGATTTATCAGGCAATAATACCATCTATGATGTCTATAATGTCTTAACCAAAGCAACTGGTACAAGTCTGGAAAAGCATGCATTCTAAGGCAATGTAAATAATAAATAAGAGGAAAAAATGAAAAGTAAAGAAAAAAATATATAACAATTATATAATACAGTGCTTCACATGGCCTGGAAGGGCCAAATTTGCCGCCGGGGGACTGCTTTTTTTGTCATACAGTCTCCCAATCCAGATCACCAGGGTTGGTAAGTATGCCAGTTGCAATGAGCTGCAAACCATTACACCGTTTTCAGCCATCGCAGTGGCATTTAAGCCCATTTAATGTGGGGTGGCATAGAACGCAGTACTGGTGTTAATGGGTTAAGGAATAGTCTATTTTAAATTGTATATTTATTTGCTTCCACTAGATGGTGTAATTCTCCTTCTAGAATGCTGCTCTTTCCTCTAAGTCACTGTCTAATACCTGTTAGAAGCCAGATTAATGTATGCAGTCACTTTTTCTTTTGTTGGAGGGCGCATAGTTTTTCAATCTCATGTTTTTTGAGGTAACTATTAAAAATAATTATTTAAATGATTATAACCAATGCTTCATAAAAAGAATGTGTGACGACATAAGGATTTGTTTTGTTCATTTATTTGTTCAATTCATTTATCAAGGAAGTGGAAAACGCTCAACGCTTCCTGAATACCTGGGAAGAAATGCGTCAAGCTTATTCTGTGACTGCTGATTTGGATTTCTACTGCAAAGGAGGAGTTGAGTTTGGAAATCCCACTCCCTGACTGCACTTCATGCACTTTAAGCTGGGGACATTAAACAGTGGACATCAGTTTTCAGTTTTATGTACTCCAGTTTTCAGGTGACCTGAGCCCTAGTGACAAGGCCTTATATGCACACTTTGTTCGTGGAGTGGATTTTCACTGGTTAGATGAATATTAAAAAAATCTGTAATATATTTTTTCTTTGCTTGTCTCTCGTTATGAGGTTTAACAAGCATTGTGATATCTTTCACTTTTGTATAGCATTACCTCTGTGGTATCTCCATTGTGTGTGTTTTTTTCACTTTGTTCGTGCACAGCGCCCTCTGGTGTATGTGTTTTTAATGGTGTTTGATGTATACACTTTTTCTTATTTTTACATACAATCGAAAGGACTCTGGAAATGAGTGCTATATAAGAATTGCTAAATAAATAAGTAAATAAATAAATTGAAACATAGTTAATCAATCAAATTAAAGGGTAGAATGGGTGAATAGATAATTGCCCTCTTGATTTTTCTTTAAATCTTTTGTAAAATTCAAACATAAAGAAAGCAATCCCTATACAAGTGTATAAATAAAAGAAAAAAGGGTATAAATATCACACTTGCTGTAAAGGTACAAAAAATGGGGTAAACTGTGTCTGTCACTACATAGAGAGTAAAAACATAAAGCCTACACCCCATGGGTTTTCTACACAATTAAAAATTGACACTTACTATATTGGTATCTAGTATTTAAATAAATACTATTTAAAGTGACACTTTTTTAGGTAATTAATTAGATTATAGATCCGGTTATTGCTCATTTAATTAAAAAGATCTGGGTGTAAATTTGGGCTTGGTTTGCACAGTACACTATAGCTCTTGAGGAAGTCTGCTACTAACAGAAAAAACGGATGAAGTTTGGACACAATTGGTACACTCTAAAATAAAGTAGTGACCCAGGTATTCAAATGGATGGCAAACATCAATTTGCTACCAATTTGAGTGCCTGGACCACTACTTTATTTTATACGTAGGGCCTGGCTTTCCCCCCATCCTGTGCACCTTGGTAGCCTGGTGAGTGCGGTCTCCTTCGCATATATTCCAATTGGGACACTAGCAGCTTAAGACACTTGCTTTTTTGGTATGATGAGAGGGGTTACAAGGCAGATCTGAAAATAGTACAGCGTTGGAAGTCAGTCATGAAAGTCACATCCAGTCTGTTACCAAATCCTGTAGATTCCACCTTAAAAACATACCGTAGTCTGCATTCGTCCCTTTCTTACGCAATATGTTACTAAGGAGCTTGTCCATGCTCTAGAAAACTCTTGCATGGATTTTTGTAACTCTCTCCTAATAGGTCTGCCCTCAAGTCGTATTGCTCCTCTACAGTCTGTAATGAATGCTACAGCTAGACTGATTTCCTCTTCTGTCGCTCCTCTCACAGCTCTCCCCTCTGTCAGTCCTTCCATTGGCTTCCTGTATCCCATAGGAGTCAATTCAAGGTATTAATCCACACCTATAAAGCACTGAAGAATTCTAGCCCCTCCTATATTTCTTCACAGATCCGTAGATATGCTCCTTCTCTGTCTCACCGCTCTGCCCATGACCTTCTCCTGTCCGCTGCTCGCACCCGTACAGCCAACTCGCGCTTGCAGAACTTCTCGCGGACGGCTCCCTTCCTATGGAATAGCCTGCCTACCGCCATCAGACTCTCCCCTAGTCTTCAATCTTTTAAAAAGTGCCTCAAAACCTATCTCTTTAGGAAAGCTTATGGCCTTCCAAATTAACCTCTACCTGTCCCTTGCTCTATCCTATAGAGAGGCACTCTATTCTCTCCTCCAGCTCTGCTTCACTCCACCTTGTTTGATTACTCTCTCCTGTCCGATTGTGTTTTACACCCCATCTCCTATAGACTTTAAGCTTGTTTTAGCAGGATCCTCTTCAACCTATTGTTTCTGTAAGTTTTTTTTTATTGTCTCATTTATTGTTCAATCTCTCCCTTTGATAATATTGTAAAGCACTACGGAATATGCTGGCGCTATATAAATACCAGTAATAATAATAATAATAATAATAATAAAAGAACCATCTGGAAAGTCAGAGGGGTCAATATTGTGAAAATAAAGCAGCAGAGCCATAGACAGCATATAAGTGATTGATCCATCATTATAGCAAGTTGTTTTAAACTGTTATACGAAGACTCTAGGTACCAACAGGAGTCCAAAAATTTGAGGGCATTTTTAAGCGTGTTTACACTTTATTATAGAGCCTGGACAAACAATGTCACTCTGTGATTTTTTCGATTTGATATATTTGAAGGTATTTTGAAAAAAATAAAAATCATTAATTTTTTCAAGAAATGTTTTACTTTTTAAATGTCCACATGGTTCATGTTTTTACTCTTTCTGTACTTTTTTGAAAAATCCCCTGTTTTCAAAATTAAATTACTACTGCTTCAGCTGCTTCCTCTTTTTTTTCAAATGCTTTCATGGTGGTGGTGGGAAGGCTTTGTTCTTTTCAGGGTGGAAGGGGTGAGTGGGTCATCAATTACCCATGTCCACTCACTTCTTCATTAGATAAAGAAGAGACCATCCTTCACTGAGGTGCCCTTATCAGCTACTCCCAACTGCGTCTGTGAATATAACAGACACCACAAGTCTCAGTCAGGTAGGGCAAAACCAAGTTAATCCACAGGGACAAGTGATCCGGTAAACCAAGTGAGTTGTGGTACAAATAATGTGATGTTTAATATTAAATACTTTCCCCGTGTGTCGTTGACAAAATATTTTCACGGTCACCATGAAGTTACAGGCTGTACAACTTAGAAAGCAAAAGCAACCCCTGTTGTGATTCACTTTCTGATGTCGTAATTGGCTATACTGGTCTGTATGTACCAACAGGTCTCACAGGTTTTTTCCTCATCGGTAACTCATAATGGGATTCTTTTGGAAAACTGGTGGAAGTGAATTATCTTTGTTCAACACATTCCAGCGAGCAAGCAATGAGCACCCAGTGTTGAGAGGAAAGTGCACTGTGAGCACCTGCGCTTATGGTGCACTTAACTTAAGATCAGAGCATTTTAAACCCATAGACAAGTGCTAAAGCAGTGCTCTGAGTTTTGAAAGCACTGAACGTCTACCCAATTTCAGATGATTTGCCACTGAGGCACCCAAACTTTATAAGTACCTAACATATAATGATCATTAAATAGTGATTTGTGATGAGATGGCAACTGATTTGCCAAATTTGGTAAAAAGCAGTCAAGTTGGAAACATATCTGTAAATTAGTCAGGATTTAGTTTTCCAGTTTGCTAATCTTGACTTAAAATGTACTAATTTGACTTTTTCACTGACCACGAATCACTTTTCAGTGTTTGTTCCCCTAGGTCAGTTATAACTCAAAAACTCTTGATAGTTCTCCAAATATTTACAAACAGGTTTGTCTTCTCTATAGGTTACAAAACCACGTTAACTTACTTCACAGCTATTCAAATTCTTGACTGCTTTCTTAACAAATCATTAGCCACTTACCCTTTTCCCTCCCCTGACTCTGCCCCATTGCATCAGTTTTTTTCCCCTCATTCTACGTAGTCAACCAAGGAAATCAGATCTATTTTCAGGTGAGCCTTTCAAAAACAAATAAGCAAGTGGTGGTATATTATAAACTGTAAATTTATTTATTTGTAGACAATTGATACAATATAATATCAGTTTATTCAGTTGCTGCATGTTAATAAAGCACATCTCCATAATGTATTAACGTTTTTATGTAAACAATTTTTTTTGCATAGAAAATTAAAACACTACAAAATAATATTTCACAAAATTCCCACCACCCAGAAAAATAATGAACGGAGAATCAATAACAGCAATGAGGAGTTCCACCAAAAATTATTATAAATTAAAATAATAAATAAATAGAATATATATTATGTATATATGTGCAAAAATAATAAAAACTCACTGTAAAAATCATACGAAAACTAAAAAAAATATATAAATATAGATAATTAAATATTGTAATAAATATTGGCAATAATTAAAATACCTTTACACCGACCCCTTAATGACAGAACAATTGCCATAGCAGCCATAATATAAAGGTATATGCTTAACCTAAACCCTTTGTCATGAAGTTAATCAATAATAAAAAAAAAAAGAAATAACGTATAAAAAGGGTACGGGAATAAAGTGCAGATATTTTGACTTCTTCTCTCAAATCAGGAAGTGTCTTTCCATCCAGCTAAACAAAATGTTTAGCTCACCCACAGCTTTCAAAGAGGCAGCTTCCATGTCTAACTAAAAAAAATACAAAGACATACACTGGTGACACAATGATATGCACTGGTGGCTTTAATTTTATGCAAACCTAATTCATAACAGATTTATCAATACAATATTTTTCTTAAAACACACTGGAGCATTGCCTTATAGTAATATTACCGCCTAAAACTTTACTAGTATATTCTGACAATCTGTTCTAACCAAAACACATTGGGATTTAGTCACTATTCTCCAAACAGCATAACTCCCAAGTGTGGCATATATGAGGGACAACCACTATTTTTGGTCCAAATCTATCTTATGCTTCCCTTTTGTAAAATATATTTATACTTGGTTTTGTCTGAATTTATACCAGATCTTTATAGAAATAATACTCACATTAATGTGTATTTAAACTACAGTAAATGTACTTAAAAATTAGTCTGTGCAAATACAATACAGTTTTTTTTCAGAACAGCCCCGCCTCAGGCCACACACCAGTTGCTCACACCCCTAAAATGAAAGAGTCCCTCTTTGTCCATTTTACATTTTTTGAAAGTTTATATATTTTAGAAAATAGCTCAGATTTGGCAAAAAATCTCCTATTCAGCTATAATCAAAGGCTACATTTAGCCATCATTTTGAATTTGGTTTTCAGTTTACTATGGTTCGATGTCTAGTAAATAAAAGCCAGATATTAAAAATGGCTTGTAAAATAGTTTGAAGTTAGTTGGGCACACTTACACTCAGTAGAAAATGTCTACACTTTTTATTTCGCTTCCATGTTTTTATCTTTACTCTTCAGCCCTCTTCTAAAAATCACAACATGCACAGAGGTTACACTTAAAATCAAGAATATAAAATGGAGGATTAAGGAAGTCCTGCAAGATTCCATAGATAAATACCTTGTAAAATTCAGCTTTCATATCCTCCACAATCTGATGAGAATACATTCCACATGGGCATCTCATGGTTGATTGCTGGAATAAAATAAGGGATTAAATCTGCTGCATTTAATACCTTTTCTAAAAAGTGGCACTCTAGAGCAGTGGTTCCCAACCCAGTCCTCAAGTACCCCCTAACAGTCCAGGATTTAGGGATTACCCTGTTGTGTCTAAAGTGTTTTTAGAAAAATAAAAACACTGTAAAGCACAAGTGTAAAGCTAGGGGAATGCTGAAAAAATGTGCAAAAAAAGGTGAAAAAATAAATGTAACTTCACTTTAGATTAGGAACCTCTAAAACATAAAGAATTTTACAATTTGGCTTACATGTATGTCTTTGAATTTAAAAATGGAACTATGCAAAAATAATATATAACAAGTGCTAGTTTTATTGATAGATATTTAATCTTTTGATTTAAATTACAAGGTTAAATGTATAGATTGTTAATGCACGGTAGGGTATGATGGCAAAATACTTTTAAAGATATTATGAGATCATATAGATTTAATACTTACACAGTGCTTGAGTTCAATCTTCAGGCCAAGAACTGAGTTTGCCAAGTGGCTAAAATGTCTCTGTAAGGTTTTTGACCTATCGCTTACATTGGGGAATACATTGGCCAAATAGAATTGTCCTATCTTGAGTAGGAAACAGCAATGTTCAGAAGCCTGAAATATATAAACATTATTAAATCCATATGAATGAACTAGTATTCAGTCTGTTAAAGCAGAAAAACATACCCAATATATAAATAACTTCTACCAAATATCAGAACAATATAAAAGACAAGACACAAGACACAAAGGCTACTGCTGTATTGGTTGAGTCAGATCTGTTTTACCCACACCCTAACTTTTTTAAACTATTCATTCACTTAAGCAACACAACTTTTTCCAGTAGGACATAACTTGACGATGTGGCAAAGAAGGGGTGTGTATTTAGTGAATGTAATGTTGCTATGCAACCTGGTAAACATATACAAGAATGGATCAGTACAGTAATCAATACCACTTCCCAGAAGATGTATGACTTGATAAAGGTTGGATACTATTTTTTTGGGTCCTGTACCTTTTGAGGCATTTTTAAAAAAGACTGATATTAGTAAAAGGAGTACTGGACTGTTTTTCCAATTTGCTTATATATTATCTTTCTGACATGGCTGAAGTCACAGCATTCTTTCTTCCTGAAGAGACTAAACAGAGTCAAATACATCCAGTTCCAATATCACTTAAGGAGATGACAAAGGCTTTGTTCACGTTTGTGGATTATGTAAGAAAACTGTCAACAGTTTAGCTTTACATTTAATGTACAGATCGTTAAAACACACATAGTAAAATATAAAAAAATAAAATTACAAAGATTGAAATAAATTAGTATTATTAATGTGTTACATCATCAGAAATTAAGCCAACTTGCCCACTTCTACTGCATGCCACTTTGCTATTAGTAAGCTTAACTACACTACACGTATCTCCACATATCTTCATGCTGATTGGTTTTAATAAGCAACCACACTGTTAGCCATGCCCCCTGTAGATAATTCCCTATCTCATTCAGCTGCGTTGTCTGCTGTACTCTCTTATAGAGCAGACGGTAGTCAGTAGAGTATACAGAGAACACACAAATAATACATAATAAACCGATTAAGACTGTTTAATATATATATATACATATATATATATATATACACATATATATATAGCTGATGGTGGTGTCCATTTGTTTCTGAGATCTAAATATACATAAATATCTAGTTATGATTGCAAGAAAATCCAAGTATTTCCCTAAAACACATCTTCTGCCTATTGTTTGGCTTCTTTCAGTTCAATACAGTTATATAATTTTGCCACAATTCAATTCAAAGGCAAAAAGGGTGGTAGAAATCAGGTTATGCCATGTTATGTAGCAGAATGTGGATTAACAAAAACAGCAATGCTAAACAGCTTTAAAAAAACAAACAGTCTACTTACATGTATGTTGTTTAGTGTGTTGGCTTTCAGAAGGCTGATGTCTGTAATCAGATCTTCATTGTGCTGAATAAGGAATAACACAATGTTTAAAAAGATTCTCTGGATAGTGCTCCTGCAATCACTTCTTAAGTTCAATTTGTTAAACTAAATGCACACCCAAATTATTTAAAAACAATTTCCCCATTAAATGCATGGTCATCATTGGAGATGCATGCCTCACATACCTGTCATTTTAATTACTCAAACTGCGATCATAGAAGTAAAAGAATATTTCTGATCATATTCCCTATTTTGTCATATTGGTTAAATGGTTAGACTTATGCTAGGGCCGTATTCAAATACTCGTGGGAATAGCACGGCAAGACATTAGAGAGGTGATGATACAGCACTATGAAAAAGACTATACTATATTTTCTTATCCATTTTACATTGTTTAGTAAATGTTCCTTATAATTGGTCATCAATGCAGATAAATATGTATTTTTTGTATTATTTAACTTTAGTTAATCAGTTGTCTCACTGTTGGTGACTTTTTCATTTTTACATGTTGTGGTCCTTATTTGTGATAAATGACACAATTAAATATTGCACATTGTTACAGGATGAATATTTAAACAACCACACATTTTATGGTAGTTTTAGTTTATATTTCTTACATAAACACATAAAGTTATACATTTAATATAGAAAAAAAAAACAACAGAAAGAAGGAACGTAGATAACACAGTGTTCTGGACTATAAAGTTCTGTTCTTGATGTTAGAGCAGCTAAAAAAAACTGTAGATATTTACCAAAACATCCTTTATGGCTTCAAAATGTCTTTTAAATTCGTAAAACTCAGCAAATACAGGGCATAAATTCTTCCTCTCACTTGCAACTGTACTCGGCAGTTTTATCAGCAGGCAACAAATCAGATTTAGAGCGATATAATCAAACATGGTTTTGTTGTTCACGTAAAAAAAAAATGCCTAAAATGATAGAATGGAACAATCAAATAATTGCATAACTCATTGACTACAAAAATGTTCATATATTTTATTTTTCATTTCTGTACTAATGCAAGTTTAGAAATTTTAAAAGTGGAATATTAGTTATCATGATTTTTTAATTTATTGTATTATTTCCCTGACAATTTTTGGATTCATTTTTTTTTTCACTCTTGTGAAAGTAATGTATCTATTCTTGTTCAATGATGTCGTCATTTCTTAAAAATATATATTTTATGTGTTATGATTGTATGCAAAGTAAATTATGTTCAAAGTAATTGTAATGTCTTACCTGAGTACTGAATGGTCCTTTATGGTTCTTTCTGCCTTAGATGTATTGCAAAGCTCTTTCATTTGCCATCTTATATAGTAAAGCATCTTTATTGATGGCCAATGAAATGTTACCTGTGGACATTTCAAGTGACATCACCTCCATCCTTCTAACAGTGACATTCTTGGTCTCAAATTATCTTTTACACCCACAATTTTTCAACTGTTATTTTGTGTTTTGCAGTTTTCCATGCTTGTCATATTTTTATAAAACAGGTTTTGGGTTAAGGATATATATTTTTTTCTACATGCTACATTCACCACTTCTTTTGATTTCATGCCTTTCATTTTGCCTCTGACAGAATAAAGCCCGGTTTGCAATATTTATATTGGATACCTACTTTTATATGAACAGTTTTCAGCTATAATTAATGATTTATTTAATACTTCTATCTTTTTCCTGTGCACATATGTAACAAAGCCCTTGAACTAAATTTGCATTGAACAGGAAAAACTTGGTATATTCTACAATAATAAGTAAAACAGTGCATAACTCAAACCTGCAATATTCTCAAAAAACACAAGCCTCTAGGCTTAAAGGAGTATTCTAAGCATATCCACTACAGCTCAGTATAGCAAAGAAGCAGAAACCTATACACAGAGACTCCTGGTAACCTGACCAGTTGACTGATGATAAGAGTTCCCCTTTAACGTTTAGTTGCTAAACGCACTGTTGGTGGACATAGGCGTCCACAGGAATTTTTACAGGGGGGTGGGGGGTTGGTCATAATTGTAATGACATCCATGCTTGGCCCCTTTTTGACATTGTCATGAAGAGGAGGTGCATAGCCATTATCAAATAAAGCCAGGGTGAATAGCGTTTTTACAACTATGGTGTCAGGAATACATGTTTGTATTCCTGACACTATTGTGTTCTTTAATCACTTAGTGACCAGACCGTTTTTCAATTTTCTTACTGTTAAAGGATCACTATAGGGTCAGGAACACAAACATGTATTCCTGACCCTATAGTGTTAACACCACCATCTATCCCCCCTGGGCCCCTCATGTCTCCATGAATATAGCAAAATCTTACTGTATTCAAGCCTGAAGCTGTAGATCTGTGTGACAGACCCATCTGTCTAAGTACTATTTGCTGGTTCATCTGTTTTGTATACCTGTATGACCCTGTTAGTTTATTTCCAGTTATACCAAATAAAACTATCAAACGGACGGCCACCCAGAAGAGGATTGTGCTGCTGGTTAACCCATTGGCATCAATTAGAAAGTTGTAGTTAACCGTAGACACCTCTTCATGCGAACCGTATGCAGGGTGGTCGTCGTTCGTATGCCGACCATGAGGCGGCGGCCATTTTAAACACGCAAATGAACAGCGGTGTTCAACAAGGAACTTATGGAACTCTAAACGACACTTTTTCTATCGAACACTGCTGAAACTGCTGACCACCCTTCTTATCATCGGGCATGCGAATGCCGGTCCGTTCGGGACTTTTATTATACGAATGGACTTAACACAGATATTCGTCCATGGCGATTGAACTGTGTGCATTGGGTCTGAGCGCTATTCGGTAGTAATGTGCACTCAGATCCAGGCTATCTGGGGATACAGTACACAAATTAAATGCATTCGGTAGTTTTACAGTTATGGATTTTTATGTGTTTTTATTATACCATGTAAAATGGCGGTTTGCCTCTATCCCTGGAGATAATTGGATTTCTTCCCAATTATCTCCAGGATAGAGAGGAGGGATTTACTTGTGCAAAGGGCAGTGTTTATACCCGAGCCACTGTGATTGGCTACTGTACATTATGTGTCCCAGTCTTCCATCTGGTCCTAGGGGAGTGTCCACCAGGTGGGAGACCTACATAAATACCGGGCAGGTAGCCCTCATTAAAGCAGATTCCTGTTTACCCTCAAGAGGGAGCTTGGTCTCGTGTTTGGGGGGATTGCTACTTGGAGGTATTATTTCGCCTGTTCTAGGAGAGAAGGAGTTCGGCTGATTCTTTGTTTGGGGGTCTACAGCAACAGCGCCTGTGTCTCTAAAGGGAGAAGATCAACTAAACGGCGGTTTCATTCATTTAAGCTGGGAGTGTCTTAACAATCTGCATGCTGTTTGCCTAAAAAAAAAAAAAAACAAGCAGTCTGCTGACATCATCAGAAATGGTAGCCTGATCCAATCACAGTGCTTCCCCATAGGATTGGCTGAGACTGAAAAAGAGGCAGATCAGGGGCAGAGTCAGCATGATTCAAAAACAGCCCTGGCCAATCAGCATCTCCTCATAGAGATTAATTGAATCAATGAATCTCTATGTGGAAAGTTCAGTGTCTACATGCAGAGGGAGGAGATACTGAATGTTTAGATGCATTTTAGGCAGCTATGACCCAGGAAGGATCTCTAACAGCTATCTGAGGAGTGGCCAGTGAAGTTATCACTAGGCTGTAATGTAAACACTGCATTTTCTCTGAACAGGGTTTACAGCAAAAAGCCTGAAGGTAATGATTCTACCCACCAGTATAAATTCAATAAGCTGTAGTTGTTCTGGTAACTATAGTGTCCCTATAGTGTACCAGGGCTGTTTTTACATTTATGGTGTTTGTGTTTAGCTGTAATTTTCCGCTTACTTATTTACAGTACCCACACATATTATATACTGTTTTTCTTGCCATTAAATGGTCTTTCTAAAGATACCATTATTTTCATCATATCATATAATTTACTATAATTTTTTTTATAAAATATGGTGAAATAAAAACCCCAAACTTTTTCTAACTTTGACCCCTAAAATGTGTTACGCATCTACAACCGCCAAAAACCACCTGTGCTAAATAGTTTCTACATTTTGTCCCGAGTTTACAAATACCCAATGTTAATATGTTCTTAGCTTTTTTTTTTGCAAGTTATAGGGCCATAGGTACAAGTAGGACATTGCTGTTTCAAACTATATATTTTTAAAAATGCATCAATAGTGACATTGTAACACTGTTATCTGTCATAAATCTCTGAATCACACCTTACATGTACATATCTTTTTAAAGTAGACAAACCAGGGTATTTAATATGGGGCATGTCTTAAGATCAGTCTTTTTTAGTACCTATATAGTCAGAAACACTGGCCAAAGTTAGCGTTCACATTTGTTTGTGTGAAAAATGCAAAAAACTAATTTGAAAAACTAATTTGAACTAATTTTGGCCAGTGTTTGTTACTAAGTGGTTACTAAAAAATACTATTTTACTATTTTTATTTCTATATAGCTATATATATATATATATATATATATATATTTGTGGTCGTGGCAATATAGCCGTATATGGAAACATAGCATTTAATAACATATCAATTACTTGGAATTAGTCGGTTGTGGTGTGCCGAAACCGACAGAGGAGTAGGCCTGTAAAAGTGGGCCCACCTTAGAGGGTGTTTGTAATAGAGGGAGTGGTGGGTGGGTTGACTCGCCAGACCATTACGGTAATGTGGGAGTGGATTGGCAGCCTTTTTATAGGGAAACCAAGCCCCTCCCACAACTACAGGCCAAGCCTTTTAATTTGTGGTCGTGGCAATATAGCCGTATATGGAAACATAGCATATAATAACATATCAATTACTTGGAATTAGTCGGTTGTGGTGTGCCGAAACCGACAGAGGAGTAGGCCTGTAAAAGTGGGCAAAAATAAATTATCATAAGACATAATACGTTGACCAAAATCTTTATTTAGATAAGTCACAGAAAGCTAGTCTTAATTCTTTAACAGGATTGGGTATGTAAAGAGTATAAGCGGAAGATTTCCAGCGTCCCATTGTTTTGATGATGTGCGGAGGAATGTGGTTAGCAGAAGCTGTAGATGCTGCTCCGATTCGAAAAGAATGACCCGAAAATTGACTAGGGTTCAAGCCGAGTCTAGTCAACAGCAGTCTTACATAGAGCATAAACTTTGCTGTAGTTAGAACGTTACCGTGCAGTTCTAGCAAAGGTTGTAATGGTTGTTTGTGGAGTGATAGTAGATAATTGTCAAAATTTTGTACAGGGCACCATTTGTTATGAGTAGGGTATAAGGGGATCGTAACGGTATGACCTATGGTGCTGGTTTTTGAGTGTTTTAGCGTGAGTAGGTAATGGTCGTTCTGTTTCGCTAAGTCCATAGTTCTTAGGTAATCAGGGGACGTGATAGTCCTAGTTGTGAATTCGTTGGGACGGAGGAATCCATAAAAAGCAAGATATATGGCTGATTTTATTACCGTGTTTGTCCTGGGCTCAAACGGAGAGGAATCTAACAAGTTGACTAGTGCATGAAATATATGGTTATCAATAGGTAGTCGTTTCCCGGGGATATGTGTATCTAATTTCTTAATGCCTCTAAGAACTGTCTTGATTTGATATGAGGACAGGAAACTCGTGGCGTTGGGTTGTTGAATAAGCATGTGGTGTTGAATTCCCGTAAGGTATAGTTTTATAGTGTTAAATGATAGTTTAAGGTTGATGTGGCAAAAAGAAGTGAAACCCAATATTGATTCTATCGTGAACATATCGTGAATGTGAAATTCAGTGATGAATTTTTTGAATATGTGAAAAGCTCTGTCGTAAGTGTTTCTAGTGTTTACAGAGAGTGCCAGGTGAGAAATGTGACGTGCGTGATTTAACAAAGCTTTTAATCCATTATCAT